GAATAAAAATCATGCTCGAGATTAAGTTTCAAATTAAGAATTTTTATTTTTAGAGTCTGGACTCGAGGTGCGAGCTACCTACGTACCCAAAGGTGGTGATCAAGTCAGTCGTAGTTCAGTTAACAAAGCATTAAAAGCGACTTTAAATATAAAATCTCTTAAGATGGATATAATTTCACGCCCCTGCAGACAAGTTTGCCTTCCATGTTCTCGAGTCAGTATACACCATTTTGAACCATGTGTGTGACCCGATATGGTCCCTCCCAGTTGATACCCCTATTTCCGGCTCCGTGCTCATCAGTATTTTTAAGGACTCTATGTAGTACGAGAATTCCGACATCAAATCGTCTATTGTGAACCTTTGAGTTATAGTAACGAACTGCGGTGTTTAGGTAGTTCTATATTCGAATCATTGGCTGACCGCGACATTCATCAACTGTATCGATAGTGTGGATCATTAACTTGTTGTTCGCCTCTTTGCTTCGAGGATTTAATATTTGTCTCGATCTAGGAAAAAAGGCTTCGGCTAGTATGACAGCTTCCATTCCGCAGAAAAGTGACAATTGGGTCTCATGCTAGTTGCTCTTCTAGGAGTTGTACAATTTGCCCATAAGATACCATGTATCTCATTGAACCAAGCTCCCTTATGCTCGTTAAGCCTCTTTTCAGGTTTGAAAGGATTGTTTGTTCATAGCTTCGACATGTCTGTTTCCTTGCCGGTAGCAAGGTGTGGACTTGCTCAATCTTATCTTCCACGTCTCGTAAAAGGACTCAAACTGGTTTGAAATGACACTGCTCGCACTTGTAGGCGTATATTTTGCATTCAATGCGATCAAGGTTGGTCAGTAGTGACAATACTTCTTAATCTTAAATGCCACAGACCGACCCCTGGAGTGATTCCCGTAAAGTCTTTCACGAATTTCTTTGATCATGTGCTAATCTGTTTCCCGAAGATACAAGTTTTGTAAAGGCTTGAGACATTACGCCCATATAGAATGTCATTGGAGATGCTAAGCAAGCATTCACGGTCTTAAGTTTCCGAGCTTCCCACTTTTCTGAAGGAAGTACGCCATTAAGGATATACTCATGAATGGATATTATCCAGTCTACCCCAGTGGTGAGGTGGTTATTCAGATCTCGTTGGTTCGTGAATCTCTGAATCCGGATTTAGAAGAATAGGAGGTTCAACTGGTTCGGGATTGGTGGGATGATTTTGCCAGGATCTACTTGTAGATACTGTAGATCCATAAGCGAGAAGATTAAAATCAAATTAAGTTCAAATTCATAGAGATGTTTCAAAATCATGTAAGTTTCACACAAGTAGAAATTGCATTTGAAAAACGCAAAGGTCTAAGCATGGATTTTCCATTTTTTCCAAGATGATCAAGCAACGATTAACTATGATTAAGGGCTTTAAGTTCAATCCTAAGCTTGAATTTCTACAAGGTGATTAATTCATCATCCCCTACGCATATGCAAATGCAAACTAGATGCTACTAGACTCAATCCTAAAGAGAAAATGAATATGCAAAGCTACATGATTCTTTTTGGATTTTTCAAAATTTTCAAATTTTTTTGATTTTTCTCAATACATAACTATTAACAATGCAATACTCAAGGAAATAAAATCAAAACAAAACACAATATTAGATGGTTAGTCTCTCCCCCAAACTTATTTCACTCCGTCTCGGTGTGAGAATAATTCCGAGAAAAAGACTAACGAAAAACAAAGAGAAAATGAAATAAAATGGTATATACAAAGGATAGATAGAACCATACCTTGGTCCTAGTCGCAAATCTTAGGGAAAAGATTAAGAGGAGGAGTAGTAGTACTCCTTGGAGGATCCTTGAATGCAAGTGTGAGAACCTCTTTCATCAACTCTTCAATACCTTTTGAGCATTTTTCTTTGAAATTCGTTGGGAGGATCGCTTTAACCGATGCAAAAGGATTGGATCGACCCTTGAACTGTACTTTATACTCGATCATTCCATCACTATATCTCCAAGGCGTTAAGGTCATTGAAGAGGTAGGCATTGGTGAATTAACAAGGGTGGGAGGGTGGGTTGCTTTCATTGCTCTCTTGTTCTTTTTGAGAATCTTCTTAGCTTTTCCAATCTTCTTATCTTTACTACTTCCTTCACACTCATCAAATAAGAAGTGTAGACATTCACCATCCAAGATTTCCTCATCAAGCTTAGCAAGCGTAATTGGATAAGAGACCTTGTTTTTCACGTGGAGAAACGTTTCTCTCTTGTTTGAGAGATCAATGTTTGTGGTTTCGTCCTTTTGAACCCGCTTAATTACCACATCATACTCTCTAGTGCCCTTTTCGATATTCTCATCAACTATATCCAAATTATTTGTGAAGATAGCATTACAACACTCCTTGGGATTAGCTTCAGATTTACTCGGTAATACTCCACTTGAACTCTTTGAACTAGAAGAGACTTGAGCGACCTTAAGATTAATGGTTTTCATATGAGAAGCCAAGCTAGTGATCTTAGCATCAAGATCATTGTACATCCCATCTATCTTGTTGTGCATCTCAACGACCCTCTTACCAAAATCCGTATAATCCTTAGTTTGGCCTTCTAAAACTCGTTTCAACTTGGCATTCATTTCATTATCTTGAGGAGGAGGTTGAATAGAAGAGTGTCCTTGGTTCGTGAATTGAGTTCTTGGTTGAAATCCTTGTTCTTGTAGAACTTGGCATAGTCCACCTTGTTGGTGTTTCTCATCATGAACCATATTAACACTTCTTTGTTGCATCATCATGAACTTCTCCACATCATCCAATTTACCTTGCCTATTTTGCCACTTGTAGTCATCATTTGGTGTTTCTAGAGGCGATTTCCCACATATCTCATTGCACATTTGATCACTTTGGGCGAAATTCTCAACAAGTAACTCTCCTTGTTCTACGGTAAGGTTTGCAAAACGCCCTTTGCTAGCCATGTCCAATGACAATTTGAACTCCTTATTAACTCCCCAATATAAAATGCTAAGGATAGCTTCTTTGTTGAATCCATGATGAGGGCAATCTCGAGTATATCCCTTAAGTCTTCCCCATGCTTCATGAAAACTTTCATAGACTACTTGCTTAAACCCCATTATGTCATTTCTCATTTGGACCGTTTTTTGCTTAGAGTAGAACTTGAGAAGGAAGATCTTCTTACAATCATCCCAAGAATTGACCAAATGAGATGGTAATGCTCTCTCCCATTGGCTTGCTTTTTCTCCAAGAGAAAATGGAAACAAAATGAGCTTGATACTATCTTCGGGCACACCTCTAATCCTAAACGTGCTACACAACCTCTCAAACGAGTCCAAATGATCATAAGGATTCTCCATAGCTAGCCCCAAGAACTTAGAGCCTTGAATCAATCTAATCAAACTTGCCTTGATTTCATAAGCATTGACTTCAATTAGAGGAGATCGAATTCCATATCTTGATTCATAATGAGGAGCATCAAAGCTTCCTATTGTGGGTGTGTTCTCTCGAGCATGAGTCGTATTTGTTATCAATTCTTGAGGTTGTGGAGCTTGAATAATGTTTGTATGATTGTCCACATCCAACACCTTAAATGATCTTGTCTTCCCATTTTTCTTTTTTTTATTTGAGTACCTTCGAAAGCATAAGAGAATCAAGGAAGACAAATTAGTAACAATAAACAAGAGAAAATTCATCATCTCAACTAGATGCGTGAATCTAATCATATGCGCAAAAATGAAATGGCTTAGTCTCAAGCAAAAATGAAATCCTAATGGCTAATTGCTATTGCTCCCCGGCAACGGCGCCAAATTGATGTAGTGTTTTTACCCAATTACTTATCGAACCTCAAGGAGCAATGAACCAACACACTAGGAATGCACACATTCACTTAATCTAAGCAAAATAGATGATTTTGGTTTTCTAAATTTGACTAATAATGCAATTTAAACTAAACAATGCAAAACAAGACAAAAGAAATCAATATGCAAAAGACTAACAAGATTCAAAATCAAACACGCGAGAAATAAGCAAAGCGGTTCAAGTCTATAAATAGAAAACGAGTCTTCGGGTTTAGATTATTGATTCGAGTGATTAATAATCAATTCAAGATGCTCTATCAATCTAACAATGCTAATCCTTTAGTCTTAGAACACTAATGTAAACTAGTCCACTTACATGGTACTAACTCTACACTAATCAAGCAATTAACATCAATTTCCATTGGCAATCACAAGACTAATATGCATTAATTTCAAGCCTAACTAACCACCTAGCACCCTAATCATCAATTTCCATTGGCTAGGAATGCTAAGCACTCACTAAGTTCTTTCGGGAATTTCATCGAACACCTTCCGGGCATGAAACTTCCTATGATCTAGACTAGCTTAATAAAAACTAATCTAGCACTAAGAACACCTAGAGAGTAAGGATCAATAAAGATTAAGTCCTAAACATCTTGAATCAATCAACAACCACCCTAATCTACTAAACCCAAAGGCTCAAAAGATACTACTCACTAATCATAGTGAAAACACAAAGATCCATGTTGTTTCTTTGCATGATCTTAATGACAAAAGTAAATTAAGAAGAAATCTCAAAATAAACAAGACTAGATTGCATAAAAATACTTAAGATTCATACAAAATCTCAAAGGAGAAAAGAGAAATTCAAAACAAGCATCCCCCATAAAATTAGGTCTAAAATCACTTAAATAGAAGCCTAAAACGGACCGGGTCGACCCATAACAGGGAGGTCGGATCCGGTTTTCGAATTCGGGTCATAGGAAAAATTGGCTCGCAACAGGGTACACATGCTGATGCAGATGGCTGATGTATCAACAGAATGAACTTGCATCTTCAAGACATCTCGCATCAGGGTGCATACGTCGATGCAGATGGCTGATGTATCAACGGAATGAATTCGGAGTCTTCAGGACATCTCGCATCAGGGTGCATATGTCGACGTAGAAACCTGATGCATCTTCTTCTCCTTCTCTTCATACTCCTTTAGTTCCTTTTTGCTTGATTTACTTCTTTTTACCCCATTAGTGCTCCAATTGCCATCAAAACTCTAAAATCCACTCCATGAACCTAGAAGTAAGAAATGCAATGCAAATATGCACCTAATAACCTAAACATGAATGCAAAATGGTTGAAAACTAAGAGAAACAAAGCTATAAAACTAACAAAAATACAAGATATCATGTGTCGTCGACGAAGTCACCACGATCAGAAGACATGATAAGTCCCTCAGCAACTTTGTCATCAGTACCAGACCAATCATGCAACACACACTTAGGTTTAGATCTATTTTTCACACTCTACAAAATTAATTAAATATAAGTCAATAGTTATATACTTATATCCATCATATTTAAGCTATTTGGTAAATTCATGTACCATAAATACTTACTGTTGGAGCAGAGTTTTCACCTATTTCAGGTTCAGTTTCTCTCTGTGAAACACAAACAAAAAACCACAGATATAATGAGCATACTAAAAACTCAATAAATATTTGTAGTACTACTAACACTTAGCTTCAATAATTCTAACCTGGTAATTCATTTTAGCAAGTGCTTCTTGCAAGTCTTGAACCTGATTCTGTAGTTGGGATTGGTTTTGTTGCATATCAGCCATATGCTTGTTCTTGACTTGGAAACAAGCCAGTTTACTCAGACTCATTCCTCTACCCATAGCTCTCAGTCTGCCTGGATTATCAGGTCCTAATACCTGAGAAAGTAGGTCGTCTTTTGGATTTGATGATGTGGATGAGGGATCTCCAGATGCAGCAAGCTCATTTGCCTTCCTCTGATTATATGGCAGATTTATATATGTAAAAACAAGATAAAACATGATATGCAACAGAAATCATTCCAAAACAACTTCAGAACTTACAATTTTCTCAGCTGCCTTAGTATTGACTGCTGTACCATCCTTTTTGGTTCGAGACTTCACCCAAACTTTCAGTCTTGTGACTTCTGATGGTTCTGAGCATTCTTTTTTCTATGTAAAAAGATAAGATAAAATCAAAAGAACATTATACTTCAATACATTGACTCATACTGTAGATATAAAATACTTACCAATTCTTCTGCAAGCCTAACCATTCCTTTACGGCTGCAAGTGTGAGGAATCTGATTACGTCTTCTCTCCTTGTATTCATCACTCACAGCCTAAAGATGAATGTTAGTAAAGATAAGATGTATCAAAATAATTTTAGTGTTAATGAGCTACCTGAAATTCAGGACTAGTTTTTAGCTTGACAAACTTTCGCCATTCCCCAATAGGAACATTCTTTGGTCGTAGCTTCATCCTATCTGCGTTGTTGTTTGCTTTAATCACATTCTGTACCATCCTTGATTTGTAAGCTCTCCACAGGCAACCCATATGTTTGATAACAGCAGCCTTTTCATACTCTCCATCAAGTTCAAATCTTGCCTGCAAAAGAAGCTAGTTAACAGATAAAACAGAAATATTTACATGTTAGAGAGGAAGAGTAGGTGATCACCTGAACAGACTTCCACAAAACAGTTTTGCGCTCTTCCCCAATCTTCCTCCAGTCTTCAATTATAATAGGAACATGTTCTCTTACTAAAGAACCTATGTATGATGATAACTTAACTGACCATGGTCCACAAGGTTCTGCTAGGTCAGTAAAATCAACTTTTATTCTTGAGTTTGGATCCTTGGCGATGTCTTTCATCTTTGTTGGTCCTCTGCGTCTCTTTGGCTGCTGCTGAACTGGAATTGCAGCCTCTTCAGATTGGTGCTGTCCTTCTGTTTCTTGTTCTGCATCAGCTGTAGGTACCTCACCATCTTCTTTCACTCCAATATCAGTCTCAGAAGTTGGATGCTTCTCATTATCTGCTAAGACATCACCCTCACCTCCATTATCTTCCTCATGTGATTGTTGAGTCTCAGCTTCCATCATCTCCAAAGCTGGTTCAATAGTACCCAAATACTCTGGCTCCACATCTTCTACAGGGGTTTTCCTCTTTCTTGAAACCTTTTTCTTTGGAGCCATCTTAGTTCACCTGAAAAGCTCAAAAGAACACAAATAATGAAAAAAAGAATTCATTAGTTGGTGAGATTATCATGTAAACACCAATTGAAAATTCCAAATATGAAAAAGAATCAGTTCCCAACAAAACAAAACTCAAGAGAATTCTCTGCAACTAATACTACAACTATTACTACACAATAAATCCTGTAGATGCTGATCACACATATATCCCTTCACAATCACTCCGGGCATTCTGAGACTCATCATTCAAGTCTTCAGTATTCATATCAATAATCGATGGTAATGGTCCAACATCTGTATCTTCTTCAGTTTCCTCATTGTATCTTCTAGAAGGACCTTTCATCACAACAAACCAATTAGATGAATCATTTTCCCTAGAATAAAATACTTGCTTTGCTTGAGACGCTAATATGAATGGATCCCTTGCAAAAGATGTCTGACTCTGATTCAAGTTAACTAGTGTGAATCCATTTTCAATCTTCACTCCATTACCTCTAACTGCCCATTGACATCTGAAGATGGGAACATAGAAGACATTGTAATCTACCAGAATAATGTCAGTGACTCTCCCATAGTATGAAACCCAATCAACAACTTGAGAAGTGTCCTTAGCACTAGAACGACACATGGCTGTGGCCTCATAAAACACTCCACTATTCTGACTTAGCCTATCAACAGAGTTTGTGTGAAACCTCAGGCCATTCACTATGTAACCAGTGTAAGACCTTGCAATGCTTCTAGGACCATATGCCAACCACTTTAATGTATCTTCATGCACATCTGAGTCCATAGGTATCTAATATGCAGCAGACAACAAGTTAAACTCTGTATATACGACACCAAACATGAAAATGTAAGTATATATAAATACTTGCCTGTTTTTTTAACCATTCTGCAAAATTTTGTGTATGCATACTCCACAAAACAGTAGCATCACGTTTGCATTTGGCATTAGTGTCTTGTAGATACTGTAGATGCATGCTAGAATAAAAAACAGGAATACAATAAGAATGGTTAAAGTAAATAGAAATTAAAGTAAATATAAAGTTGACTGACCAACTTACTCCACATAAGGATCAACCATTGCTGTATTTTGAATTACAGCAAGATGGGCTATCTTCTTCTCCATTTCAGTAAAAGTGAATGCAGTTGCTGCAGATATAGGACGACCCTCTAAGATTGAGCTACTCTCATACTCTGTGTTTCTGTCAGCTTTCTCTTCTACATTTGTAGTCTTCCTCAAGAAAGCATTGCAAAACTCCATGCATTCTTCTGCTAGATAAGACTCAGCTATGCACCCCTCTGGTCTTGCTGGATTTCTGACATAATCTTTCAAGACTTTCATGTACCTAACAGAAATAAACACTAAATCTGAGTACCTTATGAAACAAATAAACACAAAATATGGAAACCAAATTGAAATAACTTTTTAACAGAGAAACCTGACCTCTCAAATGGATACATCCATCTGAAATGGACTGGTCCACCCAATCTGGCTTCTCTACCAAGATGGACACACAAGTGCACCATTATATCAAAAAAGCTAGGAGGAAAGAACCTCTCAAACATACACAGAGTCTCAACAACTTCTTTTTCCAATACAGTAATCTGCTCCATATCAATGACCCTTTGACAGAGAAGGTTAAAAAATGAGCATAAGCGTAGGATAGCAACCCTTGGACCTTTTGGTAGTAAACCTCTAACTGCAACTGGGAGAAGCTGTTGCATCAAGACATGGTAATCATGTGATTTGAGTCCCATTACTTTGCAATCATCTAATGATATGCAACTAGATATGTTAGAACAATAGCCATCCGGACCTCTGAAGTCATAAAGCCGCTTACAGAAAACTTTCTTCTCTTGCTTTGACAAGGACCAAGGAGCAGGTGGAAGGTAGATTCTTTTACCTCTTTCTGTAGGGTGCAAATCCTTTCTAATGCCTAGTAGTTGGAGATCTTTGCGAGTCTTTAAACCATCCTTGATTTACCACAGTGCAACAGAGTAGCAATAATGCTTGCACAGACGTTTCTCTCCACATGCATCACATCTAAATTGTGTCTTACTGGCAGGTCCTACAAAATACATTACATAGTAAGTTAATATAAGTTAATCGTAAATATTTATACTTTAAGGGATATTAGAAACATACCTCCCAATAAGGCAACTTGAATAAGATTGACCTTTTCTTCCATCTTGATAATTCCTCCTCATCTGTTTCTACTTCTTCTTCTTCATCTGACTCACTATCTACTTCTTCCTCTTCATCTGACTCTACAGTAGCAGGCCTAGCTCTCTTCTTCCCAGATTCTCTCCTATTCCCAAAATCATTTTTGAAATTTTTAAGTAGTACAGATATATTATGACCAGTTAATATCCTACCTCTGATTCCATGTTCAGCTTTCCCATCAAACCATGTCTTCTTGCCCCTATAACTGTGAGTTGGTGAAAGACCTTTGCGATGGCACATATAGACATGCTTCCTACAGTTACTCAACCACATACTATCAGTGTTCTTCCCACATAAAGGACAACCCATCTTACCTTTTACTTTGCATCCAGCAAGATTTCCATAGGCAGGAAAATCACTGATAGTCCAAAGGAGCATTGCTTTAAGTGTGAAAGTACTCTTGCTGAAGGAATCATATGTCAACTCTCCTGTGCTCCGCAAATGGATTAGATCATCTATAAGAGGCTCTAAGTAAATATCAATGTTATTACGAGGTTGATGTGGGCCAGGAATCAACAAAGTAAGCATAATGTTTTCCTTCTTCATACACAGATCTGGAGCCATATTATAATTAACTAAGCAGACAGGCCAACAACTATACTTACTGTTCTTCATGTTGAAAGGATTGAATCCATCAGTAGAAAGACCCAGACGGATGTTTCTTTGTTCAGCAGCAAAAGCAGGATATTTGGCATTAACTTGATCCCATGTCACAGAATCCACAGGATGTCGCAGTTTTCCATCACTACTCTTATTATGAAAATGCCACCTTAGGTCCTTGGCAAGTTGCTCAGCCCTGAACATTCTCTTCAAGCGTGGGATAATAGGAAAGTACCTCAGAACTTTCTGTGGGACACCTTTCTTAATCTGACCAGTGTGCTGGTTTATCTTCCATCTTGAAGCCTTGCATTTAGGACATGCGTCAAGCTTCTTGAATTTCTTCCTGAAAAGGCAACAATCATTAATACAAGCATGAATCTTCTCATATCCCATATCAAATGATTTCAGAAACTTCTTCACATCATACATTGATGTATGGAGAACATTGCCTTCTGGTAGCATATTTGACAAAGTCTCCAGTAGATCATTGAAACTTTTGTCTGACCACCCATTCTTTGTCTTTATTCTATACAGTGAAACAATGGCTGAAAGCTTGCTATGGTTTGCAGAACTAGGATATAAAGGAGTTTCAGCGTCCGCTAGCTTTGCAAGAAACTCATCTTCTTCCTTGTCCTCAGCCTCACCATCAACATCATCCAATAACTGACCCCTATTAGCCAATTCTTCATCTAAGTAATCAGCAGCTCTGTATATCCCTAAAATCTCTTCATTCCACTGATTACCATTTCTGTCTACAGCATCCCCTGAAATCATTTCTCCATGATGATACCAATCCCTCCTTGTCTTGTAAGCCTCATCCATACCCTTTCTTACTAGATGATCAACTACTACTGTGCCTAAATGACGATCTACATTGCGACAGTCAGTACATGGGCATATTACCATATCAGTTCCTCCTAAAGCAGCAGTAACCACATGAACAAAGTTCAAAGCACCAATCTCATAAGCAGGATCAGTTCTTGAGTACATGCCAAAAGAAAGAAAGCAACAAATTCAGACAAACATAACCACTTAAACAGAAATTTATTTCTGTAAATAAACTTACCTGCATAGATGAACCCATGTCTTGTCCAACATTGTATCTGCTACCCTTATTGAGAACCGTTCATATTGTAATTCAAAACAGCATGATTCAGGCAGCAACACAGTACATGTGCAGTACGCAAAAGATTCACATTAACAATACATAATTGTTTAACTAATTAATCATAAGACTGGAAAAGCTCTTAACTGTTCAAATCTTCTGAAAGAGAGTGTTGATTTTGCGAAGTCCACACCCAAACCTGAAAAAAATATCTCAAATTACTAACTTTTCATAGAACCCTAAATCGATATATGTATTTTAGAAATTCAGAAGAACCATAAGTCTTAAATCGAATCAGAAGTATCATCAAGTTTAAACAGTAATTGAGACCATCAATCAGAAGAACCCTAAATCGACAAATTAAACTTGAAATCAGAAAAACCCTAAATCGAAAAATTAAACTTGAAATTCTGCAGAAGCCGAAGAAGTTTGAGCCCTAAGAAGAACCCTAAGAAGGTACATAAGCGAAATGCAAAACGAAAGTGAACTTGAAATCGGAAGAACCCTAAGAAGGTACTGAAGCGGCAAATCAGAAAAAGAAATCAAAGAAGAACGAAACAGACCGATAAGTTTGAAGGAACAGTCGATTAACAGATGAAGCTCGAGGGTGAGAATGAATCCGGTGAAGCTCGACGGTCGTCTTCTCGTCGGAGAGCTCGAGGGTCTGACAGTGTGTTTTGTTTTTTCGACTGTAGCTAATTTTTTTTTTTTGACTAAGTGTCGAGGGAAAGACAAACCCTATGGCGCTATTAATTTTACTAATTAGTCAATTTTCATTAAGTGTTGGCGGAATAGAGTGATTTTAGATTCCCGCGTGTGTAATTTCAGAATTAGCGTTTATATAATGCTATTATATAGTCTCTAATCCGGAACAATAACTACTATAGCATTTACGAAATTTGCGCTATGAATTTCTGCTATCAATACCCATATTTCTTGTAGTGCTTCTCCACTTTGAAATGTCTGTTTCATCCACAAGTATGGAGGCTTATCTTTCACGTATTTTCTTATGGAAACTGATCTTTCCTCTTCGTTGAAAGCTTCCCACTCATCATCTGTGTCAAGGGCAGGCCTAGGATGAGCTTCATCGCCACATTGTCTCTCAAATTCTACCTCATCGACTGGATCACCACTCATCAACTTCGTTGAAGAACCCTAACCCTAATTTGTTTTCGATTTGGGGGAGAAATGATTCAAAGTTTCGAGTATGTGTTTGCAAAGAGAGGGTATAATCGTCTTTTACTAACCACGTGTTAGCAAACCTAACAGCGTTTACGACTTTCGTTAACGACTTTAACCTCCGTAATAGAGACGAGAGGAATTTGGAATCCAAAAATAGTTCGGGTTTTATTCAGAACCAGAAAATTAGTTGAGGTTTTTTTTGACCATCGATAAAAGTACGGATTTTTTTCTGGCAAATTTTAATTAGTTGGGGTTTTTTTGGGAATTTTCCCTTTTATTATTATGTTTTTTTTTCAGATAACGTCAGCAGACCAGAAAGTATACGACCAAGTATAAGATTTTATAAGACTTGGGGGACCAAAATTGTAAATTATGAAAATCTAGGACCCATTTAGCAAAAACGAAGACATTATGAAGACTGTGAACATGTTGTACGAATCGGAGAAGAAACCATTAACAAGTCGGAAAAACGAAGAAAAAAATAGAGCTCTTTTGAAATCAAATGCTTTGATCCGATTCGTTAATGGCGACTCAGATCTGAGGACAATCTCATCTTCATTTCTGGTGGGCAAATCTAAAGCTTTTCGATTGTGGAGGTAGATGAATTGAAGGAATCCAATGGATGATTTCACAGGATTGTTAGCGAGAGACTTCGGATTGAAACCTCAAGGCAAATCAGCTCCCATGGCGTCTCAATCGAACTCTTCTGCTTCTGATTTCAACAGTTTCGCTTCTTCTTATAGCTTCGCCAACGCCGCCGATAAAAAGTCCGAATCTTTGCCGGTGATTGACGATCTTGGTCGAGATGGTGATGATCTTCTCTTCAAAGATGTGTTTAGCGGACCACCACCAAAGTACGGATCCTCTTCTGGTGATTCTCGTTCTCCACCTGCTCCTGCTTTTGACTACGATGCTATGTTCAAGGAACCCAAATCCAAACCGGCGTCGTCCATGCCGGTCTATGACAAGCCTGTGTATGATGATGAGGATGTGTTTGAGTCTATTCCTGAGCTCAAAATCCCATCCACTTCTTCTCAATCTGCTAGGTTTGATGATGTTTTCTCTTCACCTCCTAAGCACAGGAAACAGAACAGTTCTCCTTTTGATGATCTTATAGGCAACAATTTGGGGAAGAGAGGGACAGAGAGTGACCGAGAGGACAAGGCTAGCTCCATTTTTGATGACTTGATTCCCGGGTTTGGTCGCAATAGCTCTCCTCCTCCTAAACGGTAATATTCATTTCTGATGACTTGATTCCCGGGTTTGGTCACTCACTGCTGCTATTCAAATTTGAGAACTTGCTTGCGTGAAATGACTCGAGGGTATTGAGCTTAGAGCATGAAATGTAGTATTTCTCTGTGGCCAGGGTCATTGCCTTTCTAATTTGGTTCTCCTAGATCTGTGATTACTAGTTGGGGTTGCTCCTGTCTCCTGCTCTTCAAATTTGAGAGCTTGCTTGTGTAAAATGACTCAAGTGCCTTCAGAGACTTTGTAGCATGAACATAACAGTAGTGCCTTTATATCGTGCTTTGTAGCATGAACGATATTCAACGTCTTTATATCCTGCCATTGCTCTTCAAATTTGTTTCTACTAGTTAGGGTATAAAGCTTAGAGCCATCACGCTTACATAATCTTTATGCAATGTAGCATACACTATATTAATGCATACTATACAAGGTTCTCTTATGTGCATTCTTTTAACTTAGAAAATCTTTAAAAGCTTGAACCTTTTGCTTATCCTTGGAAGCATAACTTTTTTATATGCAAAACTTCATTTTGATTTTGCTGGTATAGGCATAACTTGTTTATTAATTGATTGATGCTCTACTCTTTTTGCGCAGGACAACTTCAGAGACAACAAATCAATCCCAGAAACCTCCGTATCGGACTGCCGAGACATCTTCCAATGTGGAAGAAGAACCATTTGTAGTCTTGGAGGAGTCTGCATCAACCCCTAGAGAACCTTCCACGGGAGGGTTCACTGATCCATTGGAGGATATTGGTAAATTCAACAGCAGAAAAACTGATTCATCTGTCCACGAAGGAGTGTTTGTTGACACTGATCCTCTAAACAGTCTTGGAAAACCAGGGCCAGATATGAATAGTAGAGGCAAGAGTATTTTAAGACCACCAGGAAACATCAGTGGCTCCCAGTCACCACCAGTAGAAAGTCCTGGGAGTTACCGTTCTAAGAAAGTTTCATTTGATGATGTTTTAGAGCCACAGAATACGAGTGCTCCGCCACCTACCAGTTCAAATGGAAGTTTTGAGTCATCTGATGATGTTTGGCTTACTGTATCCGAGATCCCCCTCTTTACGCAACCTACGAGTGCTCCGCCACCTACGAGACCTCCACCACCAAGACCTACACGTCCTATAAAAAAGAGGGTTAACGAGCCTTCTATACCGACCTCTACTAACCACTCACACGTTCCTAGCACAGCTAGAGCTTCTGTAAATAGCCCGACAGCATCTCAAATGGATGAACTCGACGATTTTTCTATTGGCAGAAATCAGACCGCTGCTAATGGATATCCTGATCCTCCCTCTGGTGAAGATTCAGATGTTTTTTCAACTGCCGCTGCATCAGCTGCTGCCATGAAGGATGCCATGGATAAAGCAGAAGCAAAGTTTAGGCATGCTAAGGAAAGGAGAGTGAAAGAAAATTTGAAGGCAAGTAGAAATAGAGAAGAAGATCAAACAGAGAATTATGATTCTCGTGAAAGGGAACTTAGAGAAAAACAAGTGAGATTGGACCGTGAAAGGGCAGAGAGGGAGGCGGAGATGGTAAAAGAGCAGGAGAGGGAGAGAGAGGAGAGAGAAAGAGAGCAGAAAAGAATTGAGAGAGAAAGGGAAAGACTGTTGGCTAGACAGGCGGTAGAGAGGGCTACAAGGGAAGCACGCGAAAGAGCAGCCACTGAAGCTCATGCAAAAGTTCAAAGAGCTGCGGTTGGGAAGGCTACTGATGCCCGAGAGCGTGCCGAAAGAGCAGCAGTTCAAAGAGCCCATGCTGAAGCACGTGAAAGGGCAGCTGCAGGGGCAAGAGAAAAGGCTGCGAAAGCTGCGGCAGAAGCTAGAGAAAAGGCTGAGAAAGCTGCAGCAGAAGCTAGAGAAAGGGTGAATGCTGAAGTGCGGGAGAAGGAAGCAAGGGTTAGGGCAGAACGAGCTGCTGTGGAAAGGGCCGCTGCTGAGGCACGTGGAAGGGCAGCTGCCCAAGCTAAAGCTAAGCAGCAGCAAGAAAATAACAATGATCTTGACTCCTTCTTTAGCTCAATTTCTAGACCAAACAGTGCTCCACGACAGAGAACCAACCCTCTGGTGAGATGGGATTATCTACTTCTGTTCTGCTTTAAGTACTTTACAGGTGATTTAACTCCTTCTATAACTCTGGTTGTATGTCAGGATCCTTTCCAGGATTCATGGAACAAAGGAGGATCTTTCGAATCTAGCAGGGAATCTTCGCGAGTGCCTTCTGGCCCAACAGAGAACTTGAGAAAGGCCTCTTCAGTAACAAACATTGTTGATGATCTCAGTTCAATATTTGGAGGTAGTGCAATGTCTGAGGTTCATCCATAATATTCCTTCACTACGCACTTTTTTTCATATCTTTAACTTGGTAACCTACTGAAACCTTTTGTGTTGTAAAAAAGCTTCAGCTACCCAATCTGGTGGGTTTCAAGATGTTGATGGAGAAACTGAAGAGAGACGACGTGCCAGGCTGGAACGCCACCAGAGGACACAGGAGCGGGCTGTATGTATCATTAGAGCTTTTATTTGATGGGTTTGTTATCTTACATTGACACAAGATTTGGCGGTACATTTTATAACATGAATTCTTTTCTCAATCAGGCGAAAGCACTTGCTGAGAAAAATGAACGTGATCTTCAAGTACAAAGAGAACAAGTAGAGAAAGATGTAAGTTTCCTTACCACGTGATTCAGCTTGAAACTTTTACATGTGGTTTCTCGTTTTCCTTCCTCTGTTGTGCCATCTCAAACCATGTTGCTTTGTTGAGAGACTTAGGTCTGGGGCCTCTTGCAGCCATTAGCATAAGAAATTGCGCACCTTTCGGAGCTGTCTCATTGTTTTTTTTTTCTTCTGTTTATACACCATACTTAATTCTGGAGTGTAGAGGATCTGTAATTTTTTTTGTTCAATCATCATGCTTATCCTGGATTTCAGAGGATTGGGGTGACTTTGGATGTTGAGATAAAACGTTGGGGTGCAGGGAAAGAGGGAAACCTGCGAGCTCTGCTTTCGACATTACAATATGTAAGACATATTGTCTGTTTTCCTTATTATTTGCACCTCTGAAGTTCATTTGTACCTTTGATGTTATGAGTCCATAGTGTCTTCTGATGTCGTTTTGTAAATGAGCAGGTTCTTTGGCCAGAATGTGGTTGGCAGCCTGTTTCATTGACTGATTTAATTACGGCTGCATCTGTCAAGAAAGTTTATAGGAAGGCGACTCTCTGTATACACCCTGACAAAGTTCAACAAAAAGGTGCCAATCTCCAGCAGAAATACATTGCTGAGAAAGTTTTCGACATGCTCAAGGTAAGTGAATTCACCATCTCTCTTGAACTAAATCCATCACTGCTACTTCAGATGCCACCGACAAAACACCTTGCATTTTACGAATAACCGCACAATTTTATAAATCCAAATTTGCTGGCTTCATCATCTCTTTTGTCATGGCAATAAACAGGAAGCATGGAACAAGTTCAACTCAGAAGAACTCTTCTGAAAAAATCATGGGGTTATGTTTGGAGATGTTGTCATTTGGCATTCATTAAATAGCCAAAATGGTGCCCAAGTTGGAGGCATATAGTTGTGGATAGAGTATGTATTCCCAGGATCGATTACCCATCACTGCATCATTATAGACATCGCAGCAATTGGGCATTCATTTTTTGTTAATTTTTCCTTGTCATTATCCTTCTTGAGTCTTGTCCTTTAAGAGTACGATGTCAAAATGTATTGATGGTTATTTTTGTATCAAAACACAATACTTGAGAGCTGTGTATTGTTGTTTCCAAACTATTTATATATATTTGCATATATGAATATTCTTTTTAGTGGCATGGAGGCGACTCCGAATGTGATCTATGGTATTCTCTATGGCTCTCTCGATCCATTGTATCTTGAGATCTAAGTTTATTCCCCTTTGGTGAGTGTTGGTGTTTCGTTTATATCGTGATCAAAGCTACTTAGTATGCTTAATCTGGAGTCATGGTTTGGATTGTTTCGGGTTTGGTTAGGTATACTTGTTTTCTTCAACATGAGAACCACATGAGTTTGAACCACCAGGGATTTGGTCTGTCCTGATTGTACTTTTTCTGGACTGCTTCATGTGTTCTGATGAGTGATGCAAGTGTAAGATTTTGGTTCACGGGAATCTCTCGGGAAGGTAAGTAACCATTTTAGGTCGTGGGTTGGCTACTTGATTGGAATTTGATTGAACGGGCACGACTTCTTGTTGATTGCGGTTTGATTGAATGAATGTTGCTACGGTCTGTGCATGGCACAAAATTGAATGGAATGGTCTCCAGATGAGGTGAATTGACTTTTAGTATGTCGGATTGCATACATTGAATGGCATGGTTGATTGTTGAATGTAAACTATGAAAGTGCTAAAGATATGTGGTATGAACTTGACAATTTAGTAAGACATTGCTGTCTTACAAATCGTTAGCACTTTGTATGGATTCAAAAGTTGCCTAAGAAAAATATTCAATGTAACGAAATTGATCTAGTTTCAACCTAGTTTGAATGCGTCTCACATTGAAGGCTTTTGATATTCAACAAAAGTTCTCACAAACTCATATTGGTCTCTGACAAGAACAATGAGACCAAGATTGTTTAAAGTTTTAACGAAAGTCATAGAAACCGAATATAACATTATAGGTCAGGACCATCGTCACCAAAATCTTCATCGTCATCTCTGATCTTCACATCAGCGTCTTCTCCAAACTGAATACAGACATCGATTTGCGACAAAACATATTGAATGCTGCCCATAGAAAGCAATGTTGATGTTAATTTCGTATTTGATAAAATTAGAAGAATGAACTGAGAGGACATAGTTTACCTCTTTTCTTTCCTCAAGTTAATGGGTATGAAATTCACCATCCCATACTCTCCCACCTAATAACCACAACCGAAACAAAATGCAATCATGAAATCGAATTACTAGTTTTTATAATCAACATTATCAGCAAGAATCCATTACAATCATATACCATACCATCTCAATCAAGGCTTTGTTCAGTTTTGCATATTGAGGACCCATCCTTTCGTTTAACTCTGCCAGCAATGTGCGAGGCTCCGGGTTCAAGTAACTAGAGTCACGATAAACCGAAAGCAATTTAATAATATCGAAACAACAACAGAGAAAAACGAAGCGAAGAATAGGAATACATACTCATCAATGTTGCTTTTGTCCTGCAAGAGGTCCATCTTTGAGAGGATGTTGACATGTGGTAATTCAAGCTGGATCATTGCAGCGAGAGATGACATGCAACCACTGATAAACTTGGTTACATCTGTTATGAACTGATCCACACAAAATTCATCTTTAGTCAGGCAAAATGGTTCACTACAATAAGAGTAAGTAGTGGAGGGGAAATAGAACTTATATAAGACCTGTGAATCAAGCAGATACACAACACAGACGTTGAAGTTCTTCTGTTTCAAATGCTCCACAAAGTTCTTGAGCACAGGAACATGTGTAAACAGCTCAATCTGGCCTATTAACAGAATAAAATTCAGAGAATTCAGAGATGCAACACAGTTGGGATGCTTCATATTCAACTTCTATCCAGTATTGGTATGCCAACACTAACAGCTTTATAGGAACCACACACTTTATCAAACACATTATTTAACATAGATCAACTCATTGATCATGTATGTACCTGGACAATCAAATATAAGGTAATCGTCGTCCCTGTAGTTCTCCAATTCTTCATCCACCCAATCGTGTAAGCTATCCTCAAGATACCTATGGATTAAAAGTTAAGGCTCTTCCAAAACATATCATGCTCCAATTCTCTGTTTTCACACACAAAGCTAACAATGTTTAAAGACCCGATTGTACAAAGCTAGTAACATTCACAAGTTGCCAATGTAACAAGAAAAAGGATACTCCATGCAATACATGAGGCCACCATTAGGACCAAGCTTTAACTCCTCCATAACATCTTCCAAAGAAACAAGTTCTCTGATATCTGCATTCAGTGAAAATCAAGAAAGTGAGAAGCACTCAAAACTCCCCAAAAGGTGATTGAATAAGAGGAAACTTCACTCACCCATAGCCACAGGATAATTAAAGATCTCCGCAGCAGGATCAAGATTAACAACATGCATTGTTCGACCGATAGTTTCGCAATGTTCATACAAAGACGAGCAATAAGTTGACTGATAGACCCAATACACACAACAAAACAGTTAGTAAAATCTCACTGATGAAACTAGTTTACAGAACAAACTTGACATAGACTATAACATAACCTTTCCACTGCCTGCTGGACCGATAACAAGCTGAGCGTAACCCATTGTAGCAAGCAAGCAAACCTCTCCACACAAACTCTTGAACTTTAACAAATAGAGTGAAAGATTCTAAAAGATGCAAAGATTGCAACAGTTATATAAGCAATGCACCAAACACCTAAACCAAACAACACTCTCAAAATGTCGCAGGAACCCATAAACCAGAAGCAAGAAGAAGCAATAGACACATTTCAGTACCTGAAAACAAAAAGGCAAAAAGATCAAAACTTTAACACTCACATACATGATTTACTTAGGGTTTTATAGACCCATCAAATAGAAAACCTAAAAAGACGAAATTTGGGAGAGAAATTGAAGAAATTAGAAGCAGCCGCCAAAATTTTTGCAAGGTTGAAACGAAACCCAGAAGAAACAGATAATCAGAAGCATCCATGGAGAAGAACAAACGGAGTCAGAATGATGATTGACTTTACCTTTGACGCGTCTTCGTTTTTCTTTGCTCTCAAAACCTAAACCACAAGCAAAAGAAGAAGAGAAGAATTTCAAGAGCTTCACTTTTTGGGTTTTGCGTTTAAAGTCTTTTTTTTAGGGTTCTTAATTGTTTTTTTATTATTCATTTTTTTAGTAGTCGTAAAATAAATAGACATAGGGCTTCTTTATTTATTTTTTATATATATTTTTAATTCTTTGAAACAGCAAAGTCATTCTCTCTCTAAAACCTCTCCCTTCTCTCTAAAAGCAGATCTAGTTCTCAGTTTGCGTTGGCTGGCTCCGGTGGCTTCCACAGCGCCGGAGCTAGGCCTCTCTTGCTCTCATGTATAGTTGTTGGTTAGTTTGCTGAAGTTAGGGTTGGTGGAGTATTTCGACAGTGGTTTCTCTCGCAAAGTTGATGTCGGAGGAGTAGCTCGCGAGATTCACGGCGGCTTTGTTCTCGGCCGAGTTTTGGTTGAGATCGGGTGGTGGACCTGTTGTTGGTGAGGTTCTATGGCGTTTCTAGTTGTGGCGAGGTTTTGGGCTGCTTTCATGGTGTTCATTCCTCGCTGGATCTGAGTTTCAATGGCTCTGTTTTTGTGTTGTCTTGGTATCTCGTTTCTCTTCTGCTTCATTCTTTGCGGGAATGTGCTTGTATTGGCTTGTCTTTGATTTGTTTCATAGATGGCTTCTGTCGCTTTTGTGGGTATGCCGTCTCTGTTGCTTGTAGCGTCTTTTGATCCGGTCTTGTGTTTTAACCTTCGTCTCGTTTAGCCTCTTACCAGATGTGGTGGTTGCTTTAGATTCTGTCCGGTTCGATCTCTTGCCGTTTATCTTGTTCGGTGTGGTCCGGATTGATTTGGTTCTCCTTGTCTCTACTCTAAAGATCTGATCGAGATCTCATCTGTTCATTGGTTGGTTTCTTTCGAGGCGTTAAACAATCATATTCTTTGATTTCGCCGCTTCCGGGAGTGTTGGTGTGATATTGATGCCTTTGGCCTAGATCCCTTCTCGCCGGTATGGATTCCTTAGAACTCGTCTATGTGAGGTAGTCTTCATCGTAATAGGTGGTACCGCTGTCCGTTTGGTTGGGAGTTCCTTACCCACTACGGAGTGGCCCGTCGTAAAGCTCTTCCTTTATTTTGTTTGGTAAGGTGATTGATGAGATGTTGTGGTTAAATGTCGGGTTGTATTGTACTGCTTCCTTGTTTCAGTTTCGGAATTGTTTCCCTGTTTGTTTAAGGCTTGTTTTGCCTTGTTGATTCCCTTTTCTTTGGGCTTTGCTTCCGAGATTATCTCTTTAATCGTAGGCTTAAGTTTCTGGGGTTATTTGTTAACCGCCGGCTTAGTATTTCATCTTTGTATTTCACCTTGTTTTCTATAAAAATCTTTCAGACGAAAAAAAAAAAAACAGCAAAACGAATTTGACCACACAAAAGAACTAGTCTCCACAACGTGTCTCACGTGGATCAAAATTAAGAGACTAATTTAGTTATTCTTTTTCCATTAAAAATGAATTTAAATGTACTCGAAATTTACTATAACATTAACAAAATTTTTTTTTTTTTTTATTGCAAATTGTTAACTAAAATCAATATCTTTCTCACTCTATTTTAAAACAGAACTCGATAATGGTTGCAACAAAATACTTGAAAATAATAAACACCATGGAAGTACTGTGTGAAGCTTTTCATTTATGAAGTTTGTTTTTACGCCTCTCAAATGCAAAGATCATTGTAAGTTGTTAATTTGTAACCCAATTATAACTAAGCCAATTAATATAAAATGATCCAAATGTTGAAGAACTTGAGTTGCAATGTAGTCAATGAAAATGGTTGTTCTTCAAGGACTTAAACCATCTCTATATTATGCTTCTTAAGCCACAAGTGTGCTTGCGGTAGTAGACTCGCTGCAAAAGCAAGAACACAAAGTAGGATCAATATTCAAAAGTAATATGATCAATCATGGACATCTTTAAGAAAACTCTTTGAATGTTGTTTGAAGTACTAACTACTTCCAAACGGGAGGGAGCTTCTTGGTCTTCTTGTAGTAACGAGCAAGGCGATGGATTCTACTCTCAACAAGAATCAACCTAAACTTAGAACCTCAACAAGAATTACAAGAACTCTTAGTCTATAGCAAACAGACACTAAAGAAAACTCTCGACGACAGGATAAAAAAAATACCATGAGCTTTGAGAATTCTAAGAATCTTGCTTCCGGTAACACTTTTCACTTGCACGATTCCATGAGAGTCACGAAGAATAACACCGATATGCGATGGTGTCCATCCTTTCTTAGCAAACTTGCAAATGGGCTCACCAACCTATGCAGTACCATCAACACAAACCACAAATTACTCTCAAAGCAATATCAAGAGACCATCAAACACAATTACATTACTTAAATCAACAGATTAAATCTCCAAAAGAAACACTATCACATTAACAAATTCAGCGAATCTCAACAACAAATAATCACAAGGTTATAGAAAATCCTAAAACTTGTTCTTAAATCCTAAATGCAGATAATTCTCATCTTCTATCCTAAACAACGATTAAAGCAAATGCTCATAAGAATCAAATTTCGACGAATCTTACTTACATCTTGAGGTGGTCTCGTGACCCAAGACGGTGATATTCCCTTACACAGCAAAGCAGAAGCTGAGAATCCCTTACTACACAAACACAAAAACAGAGATATAAGAGAGAACTAGTATGAAATTGAAATCAATTCTTAATCAGATACGAGGAAGAAACAAACCCTCTACTGTACATACGACCCATGACGGCGACGGTGAACGGAGCTTTCTCTTCTCTGAGTTCCTTCTTCCTCCGGCTACGATTGCGTTAGAGATAAATCCAAACCCTAATTTGCTTTGAATGTAATCGTTTTAGCTCCAAAAACCCTTGTGGGCCTTTTTATAGGCCCATTATAAAAGAAAAGCCTGCAATAAACGGAGGCAGTAGATGACGTTGTTATAGGCTCTTTTAAATGTTGTGTTCTTGATTCCTTGTTCCAAACTCAAATTGTTTCCTAGGTGAATATTTTATCATCTCTCTATTTGTTATTTTTAGGTTCATAAATTGAGTTTTACATGTTAACAATAGTCTTTACATTAGGATGGTGACTATTATTCGAGATCCGAGATAGTGATTTATGGATCCGAAAAAAACGAATCCGAATATCCTTGATTTTAACGTTCAGATATCCGGATCTGGATCGTTTAAACAATATTAAATTATATTATATGAAAATATTGATATTTATATTTAAAATTTGATCAAAATAAATTTGCAATACTTTTAAAATATCATATTTTATTTTTCTAAAAATACATTTTATCCAATTTTATTTTATCATTATTTTAATATTTTTCTTCTTAGTTATTTTAAACGGATCCAGATATCCGCGGATATCTTGATGTTTGGACGGATATCTGAAGTTTAGATATACAGAACCTGATAGTTAAAAGTCAGATCTAGATATTCCAAAAGCTGTGGATATCTGGATTTGTTCTACCACTATGTTACACCAATCCAGTTAATTATATGTTTAACAAATATAGTTCCATCCAATCAATCATAGAATTCAAAATTTTAAATTTTTATGGATTTTTTCTTTTGGATCTTCCTTATCTCATCATTATAAAGGAAAAACATGATTTACTAGTGAGGATTCATGTTTCAAACTACAAGACAAAATGAAAAAAAAAAAAAAAAAACATGTTTAAATTGGGATAAGCTTTAAACTATCTTCAAAACATGTTTATGCTTTAAAAATCACATGTATTAGGGCTTTAGCCATTTAATTGATTAGGGGGTGATGGGAAGGCCTTTTAAAAACTTTTTAACTGTAGACTTATATTTTAAAAGAAAAACTGTAAATACTTTTACTTCAAAAAATCGACTGTTACTTTTAAAAGAGATAAAAGTCATTTTTAGTGGGCTTGAAAAGAAAAACATAAATGTATATAAAAAACCTGGGACTATGCTATATTTTAGGTATTATGGGTGGTTTTATAACAGTTAAGAGTATGAATTGCAAAAATTAAACTTTAAAAACTTTTCTTTTTTTAAAGCAAATAGAGCTTTGAAAGCATAAACGACAATCATCTTATCTATAAGGGCATCATCAATGGGGGATCATGTGAGGGTGTTCTTATAGAGAATATAATGTTAAAATAATGTAAGATCATGTGTTTAGATCTTTTGTTTAAAAGTTGATTAGTGGGAGAACATGTGTAAGATCTTAAGACTTAATAATATAATAATCTAAATTAAATTAAGATTTTACAATTATTAAAACATTTAAAAATAACATATAAATTGCAAATGCCAAATTTATGAAAAACTGAAAATAAAAGTGAAAATACAATACTAAATATTTATGAAAAAAACATTAAAAATATAAATAACAATAAACAAACAAACATATTACTTAATAAAAGCACAAAAACATTTTATCTAATTAATACATAGTTTATTATCCAAATTTATTCCAAATATGTTGAATATTCCAACCAATGCCCAAATGCCACGTCACCCCGCAACACCCACAAGAACAGATCCAGGTCAAGAGCCCAGTTCCTGATCTTAAGCCCACTAACCCATTTTTTTGGATTTAAATAATGCTTAGATCAGGGGGGGGTGATCCCCCAATGCAGATGGTCTAAGTTGTTCCTGTTGATCATCACCCTCAGGTGAGAACAAATTCAATATATTACAATTGTTATTCGCCATAGATTTTTTTGAGTGAGAGGTAAACCTTATGATAAAAAAAGAGAAAGAAGAAATGGACAAATACAAAAAAAAAAATTCTTAATTACTCGCCGAAGTTTAAAGAAATAACTTTGTTATTATACTTAAATCTTAATGTTGGATTTTAATAATATATATATGGACAATTTACACCCCATAATAGCTTAGAAAAATAATATTCAAGAAGAGAAAATAACAAAGTGAACTTGACTGTACAAAATTCGTTACGATACACAATGTTACTTAGATGAGTTCAGTTATCAAAATGACATTCATCCATTTGTGGTAGTGATTAGTGATCTCAAAAATTTATATTAATAATCTCTTATACCAACCAAATGAAAATGATAGATGTTCAAAATTATTATTTTTTTGTTAGTATCTATAATACTAGATTATGCAGCTAAAGATGATAGTATAATACATTTATAACTCGTAAGACTTATAGAAGAATTATAGCATTAAAACTATTACAATTTCTTAGGCAGATCAACTCTTTAATACAATAATAGAAAATTTGTAATACAATAAAAAATTAGAAAAGATGAAAATTCAAATATAAGAAAGAAAAACAACACTAGAATTATTTTATCTATATTTTAACAAATTATCTTAGCTATGTTTGTGTAAATTTAATTATATATTATTAATTTATGATACTATTAAAACCATATATTTACATAGTTTTTGTGAAAATTATTATATTGTTATTTTGTTGAATTGTCTTAATTTTTATATTAGTCCAACTTGGAACCAAATAAATTTATTAATTGTACTATTTATTATTTAATTTATAGAGGTTTTAATGTATCTAAATATTGCCTCTAACTATAAAAGAATACAACGACAAAGATTCAAATCCTTTCAGGTTCAAACTAAAGAACTTCTTTATATGATGACAACTTCAAAATCATAGCCTCGCCACTGCAATATGTCACAAATTAAAAAAAAAAAATTCCTTCATATTTTTATCATTAATAGGATATAAACTTTATCATATAACTTTTGATCAAAAAAAAAAAAAAACTTTATCAAATAAGGATTATACTTCGCTAATGCTCTTTTCAATTTAATCATGAATCCAACGCTACTTGTAATTATGCATTGTCCTATGATTTTTATGTTATGAATAAAAAGTGGGAACAAAGAATTATGTTTTATGATTTTTAGTTCTTACTTACCCAGGACAGTTTATTCCGGCAAACTTAGGAGGGGTTATTGGTTCATGGATTTATATGGAATTAGAAATCTAAACAAAAATCATTTGTTATTCAATCATTGATTTTAAAATCCTAATTAAATTCATGTGTTATTGGTTCTATGATTTATAAATACTAGTTAAAATCATATGTTATTCGTTTAGTCATTTGTTTTTGGATTTGAGAATCCAAATTATGTTTTAAATGGAATTGAATGGAATTGAAAGAGAAAAATAGAAGGATTCAAATCCATGGGTAAACACATGTTATTTCAAAATCCATATATCTTGATTTCATAATTAATAGAAATTTTCAAATTCTATATGGATTTACAAATTAATAAACCAATAACACCCCCTTAAGTATTTGGAACATGATATTTCGGTGCCACATCTTTTGAACCAATACAGTTTCTTAGGTTGTAGTTATGTGTATCAAACCTTGGTGTTATTCTCTTTCTCAAAGCCTAGCAAAATGCTTCAACTTTCAACTCTAAACGATGAAAAATAAAATTTCTACCTACAATTTCAAAAACAATATATATAAATAAAAGATTTAATTTTATAAAAAAAAAAGAATTAGGAAAATTGAAATGTCTTTTGATAAAATAAAGCGGTTGTATTTATAAGTTTTGAGCACCTTTAACCATCTATTTTAATTATGTATTTCAACAGCCTATGTTTCATTTTTTGTCCAAATGATAACCAAATGAGCGGTTAAATTTCTAACCGCCTTAAATTCTGTTACCAGTCAAAGGCTTTAGATAATTTTTAGTTAAAACATAGGTTACATATTTAAAATATCATGTTCGAATCATCTTAATATATGTATAATCTATCAAAGTTCATTTTAAATGGTAAATACATATATACTAGATATTAACCCGCGGTACACCGCGGGCCTATATTTTTGTTCAATAAAAATTAAAAATTTAATTTTTAAAATTATCTACAGATATAACCTATTATTTTGTTTGATTTAAATGTATTATATATATAGTGTATGCTTAGTATGTTGTAGGTTTCAATTTTTAAATATAGAAACGAAAACATACAGTTCATTAAGAAACGGTATATAGCGGATTTGAATATAAATACATTTTGCTGTTTGCATTTTATTATAATATGGTGCATTTTAAGATTGACCCGTGGTACAACGCAGATCGATTTCTATAACTAAAAATTTAAATTATAAGTTGTATTAGTTTTGTTAATATTATTTGTTTTGTTTAGTATTTAAGATTGTATTATTATATTTTGATTATTAATTCTAAAATTTCATCTCTAGTATACCGTCCCATATTAATATTTAACAAAACCCGTCCCACCATATATAACCATGTCCCGTGAAAGAAACATCATTTTGTCATTTTTCATAATATTTTATTTAAAAAACTTATAATTCGAATCAATTTAAAAGTTTGCTTTAAATGGTTTCCAGATATATATATATATATATATATATATATAATTTATTTATTTATTTAATTTTTATAGAGTTCAAATATTATTAATATTATAATTTTTTTAACTAAACATGATAGTATTTTGATTATATTGTTAACTTTTTAACTCGTAATGTATAAAAAAATCAAATTGTAATTTGTTCAATGTATGGTGGAGAAAGAAAATATGTTTTAATTTTTTTTTGCATTTAAATATAATAATATTTAAATTATATTTTTAGTTTTATAAATGTCAATAAAAGATTATTTGGCTTTGTAATTTTGTTTATTTCATAAAAAAATATTAAAACACTTTAGTATATATTTATTATTTGTGCAATGAAAATAGTACCGTATATATGCCAACCTATATGTAAGAAAAACTTTAGTTCCAGCTTCTGCTTGTTCCTTCTGTACATTTTCCTGCAACCAAGTATCAATATAGATGAACAATGTAACATTGTAGTAGTAACATGAGAAGACAAAAGATGAACATTAGCGAGTCGGCACAAAATGTTACGTACTGTGTACTCATACTTGATCGCATCTCCATAGACAAAAATAACAATGAGACACATTTACAATTGCAACGTGTGATGCTAATTATGTTATCACCACCATGAAAGAATTATACCTCATCGTCTAAGATTAATATATCGAAGTAACTGATCTCATGATCAATTAATGACCAATCAATGCCAACATCCTAAGTCATCAGTCCGTATTTTCTCCAGCAATAACCATCATCAAGAGACGTTCCTTCTTATCCTATATATTCCAACACAAATCTTAAACTTTTTCTATCGTCTTATTCTTCGATGTGCTTCTGTAGATCAAGAAATAAACACGAAAAGAGAATTAGAAATATGTATTAAAACTCAAAACTCATGAATAGAAAGCAAGATCTAATTTCATCCATCAAATACCAAAAGGAAAATATGCGCTTTTATGCAAACATATGCAAATGTAGTAGTCATTTGAAGCAGAATGTTTCAAGTGTTTTGAAAATGTAGTTGCTTTGTGTGTTTGTTAATGTGAGGAGATGTAAAGCTAGAGTGTATATATAGGCTGAGTTCCGATTATGTCAATAATCTTTTGGTTGCCAATAAAAATTTATTTGCAACCTCAACTAAATTAGAATCAAATCTTTTTAATCGAATTTTTTTAAGCAATATGCAACTAAATCCGTTTTTAATACAATCTAATAGTTTCTATTGTCGAGATAATGAATTCAATATTTTGTCCAGATTTTATGGCAAATAATTGAACATAAATTTGATTAATATGTTTGGGAGAGTTACTCAAAAGGCTTAGTGAAGAGGGAAAAAAACTAAAATAGCATGGTTTTGGAGCTACAGTAATATCTTTTTTTAAAGGCAATCTTGCCCTCACAAATGTGTCTGGCGAAAAAAAAAATAACAGAAATGCCATTAGAAGTAATTAGAATTATTTACAGAAATGCCATGAAAAAGGCGGGAGATGGGAAAAAGTAAGCGGCGGGAAAAAGGGAGGATAATTTGGAAGTGGCGACAGATTTATGGAGGTGACAGATTTGTATAATAGTTTTAATAAATAATGACAGATTTGTCAGATATGTTTGATAAATCTATGTTTAAGACACAGTAGATTGAAGTAGAGTGATAGATTTATGTAGTTTTGGTTGAGTTATTTGGTAGAGTTGTATACAGTGGTGACAGAGTAATATGTAAAATTGATTTGTTAGGCAGACTAACATGTAGTTATGACAGAGTAATTTAGGCAATAGATTTGTTAGGTAGAGTTAACAAAGGTTATGATAGAGTTGTTAAGAAAAGACAGAGTAATGTGGTAGAGTTTGAATTTAGGAACAAAGTCTGTGACTAGTGAAAGTAGAGTAATTAATTATGATAGAGTTATTATATAATCGGACAGACTTATCCAACAAATTAATTACTAGCGTGTCACAGTGTGTCAGAATAGTGGTGGAAGACTTTATGTATGTGACGATAGAGTTGTGGGTTTACGACTGTTTGGTGACAGAGTTAGCGAGACAATGTGGGGGTAGACTTAAAAATCGTTAAAACCGCAATCCTGCAAAAAAGTTTTTTTAGATAGTCGTGATAGATTTATTTTGATAGAGTTATGTATGATGTTAAATCTGTCACAGCGTAAAAATTGGCAATTCCACAAATACCCTCTCACTTTAACCGTAATTACAATTTCAATGTACACGCATCTTCTTCGTTGTTTGTAGGTTAAACACTTTGTCGGTGGTTCCGAATCTGAGCACATCGACGAAATATAAACCCACGTTTTTATATAAATATATATCATCTGTTTTCATTTAAATATATATCATCTATTTACTATACAGAACATGATAGTTGATGTGGTCTGGTGGCAGCGTTTGGGTTTTGAAAACTTCAAGAGCCGGGTTCGACACTACACTTTGTAGTTTTTTTTTTTTTAATTTTTTTTTTGTGTTCTTCGTCTTCTTCACCGGTTGACTTCTTCCTCTCACATCTCCGATAACATAAATGAGAGATATTTGAACTCGGATCTTCTTCATCGGTGAAAGTTAGATTTTCAATTTTTAATACCAAAAATCTCTCCTTTTTTCCCGATTGAAGTTTGTTTACCAATATGACTAAAGATGGTTTCTTTTTCAAGTTGCAGAGTGATGAATCGTAGGCGATTGTTATCAGTAGCTTGTTTATCATTAGCTGCAAAAATGGAAGAACGAATTGTTTATCATTAGCTACAAGAACATGATTTCATTTTCACATGTGATTGTGATTGTTAAAAATAATTTGTTGATTCTATTAGATCTGAGAGGAAGAAGTCGTCTTTACTTGTGGGAATCAAGATACGTTTCCAAAATCTAGAGAATCGTTAATTCACACAGCAGATTCCGATCGATTTTGCTTTTTTGTGAAGACGAAGAACAAAAAAAAAAAAAAAAAAGCTCAGTTCTGAGATTCGAACTCGGCTCAATGGTTTACAAAAGCACACACGCTACCACCAGGCCACATCGACACTCACGTATAATTATGTAAGCCGATTCTATATATTTCTGCAGCTGAAGGCTGTTGAGTCCCATAGTTCCACAAGTCTCTGAGTTTTCTCCTCACCAACCAGAGAATGACCGTGATTCCTGCAAACCGAACAACATGTAAGAAATCTTGCATTTGGTTGGGTTTCAATGGAATGCATATAGGGGACTAATCATACATATTTCAGAGTTTTAAAATAAAAATAAAGAATATAGCACAATCTTATAATTGTAATATTATTTTGTCTAAGTGTCATTTTTTATTGAGTAAATAAGAAACTGTATGTTGTCAAAAGAAAAAAAAAAAAAAAAACTGTATAGAAAAACGTAATTTATTGGGCTCAAAGAAGCCCATTAGAGATTCAATTAGCTCACGTGGGTAGTAATCGCATATACACAGTGTCATCTTCTTCGAAGATTAGGGTTTGTGTACGGCGGCCATTAGAATTGGGGGGTTTTCCAGGAAAAAAATTTGTGACTCAGTCCAATTTTTCATAAAAGAAACGTTAAAACTTAAACGTCTAGACCGCCGAATCCGATATAAAGCCGCTGAATCCGCCAAATCTCCAGCTCCGCCCAATATCAACGCCTATAGCAAAATCCAATCGGTCCTCCTCCGCCGAGCGCTTTAGGCGTCGCCTAGGACGTCTTTTAGAACACTGAAAAATCAAAAGCTTGAATCAAAGAAAACAACAAACTTTGTTCTATTTTCACTAATTCAGAATCTTATAAACAAGATTGGAGAAAGAGTCAACAAGATCTACTCTTTATAGAAACAGAAACAGAGAATCAAACAGAGCAATCCTTTGATACCACAGATCTCTTACTCTGTAAACCAGAAACAAACCAAGATCGGATCACATCCTTAATCACCACCGCAATTTGAGATTCCTCTCTAACCCACATAACAAAAGCTTGCAAATGACCACCGAAAACAAGCAATCCGAGATCCGATTTACCAAAATCCATCAACACGATAGCCAAACCCAAATGAAAATTCCCCAAATCATCTCTCTCTGACTCCGATAATGAGATTCCTGCATTTTCCATGGATCCCAGAACTTGCAAATTCTCACAGGAAAAAAGCAAAACATACCCGGGACTCTCCTCCCTCATTCTTACCCGAACAAAAACTGGTTTCACTACCAAAACCCCTTCGCCAGTTGAAACAGCCTCACATACCAGCACTAACAAGGCAAGATTGAAACCCTTCAAGCCACCGAGACTCAAAACCATGTACTCAAAATCCCAAATTTCCCCTGTTCCTCGCCAGATCTGATGAATCTTCATCCAATAAAACCATAGTTTCCCCAAAACAGAACCTGATAATCCGAGACTCAAGATCCAATTGAGCTTTGAAAAGCTAAATCATCCGAAACCATCGCACCAACCATACCATCCAACGAAAGACCATGAAAGAACCGTAAAGATACCACCGGAGCAAAGCCGCTCATCGTCGGGAATCAGTTCCCTAGAGTCTCCACCGTCATCGCCTTTTCAGAAGAGAGAGCGTTTTTATTTTTTTTATTTTTTTTATTTTTTATGTATTAATGTAAATAGCTATTAGGTTTTAGGATTGTTTTCTTATATATTTAAGTTTGTTTTTTCTAAAATTTAAAAATTTAATTCAAAATGGCACCAATTGTAAATATAAAATATAATTAAGGTTTTAAAGTCTTTTTCAAATTTTTTAATGTCATTCTAGTAAAGATCATTTTGACTAAGCCTTTAGAATAATTAGTGGACTTTTCTAAGCCATTTGACGTAATTTCCCAATATGTTTTTATAATTCGTTTTTCTATAGATATTAGAAGGAATAATCTTTCAAATTTAATGTGGTGAGTTAATAGTAGAAGAAGAAATCTCGGGATATATTTTTGTAAAGAAACCGTATTGATTTTTCTAGAGAAGACTAATTAAATTGTGGCTTATAATATAAAGAAACAGAATTGAATTTTTTGAAGAAGACTATTTTAATTAAATGCACTCTAAAATCTCGGAGGTAAGATAAAGAAACTGAATTTGATTTTTTTTGAAGGACTATTTTAATTGATGCTTATCGAGTTGTTAGAGATATGTAGATTAGGAATATGAAAATGATAATTGGTATTAGTTCTTAATTAAATGCTCTCAAAAATCTCGTAGGTAAGATTTTAGAAACTAAAGTTTGAGTTAGTATGGAGATATTTTCGCAATATTGTTATACGGCAAATCTTAATCTTTAAATATGAAAAAAAATAATTAAATGTGGGAATAAATTAAGGAAACAGAGTTAAAAAGGTAATTAAAGAGATAATATCGTTTTTTATTACAAACTTCCTTAAATCTCTTATCCAGGATCCGAATAGAATAAAACCGGGTCAAAACCCGACCCATTTGAATTAAAAACCAAAATCCCCTCTAAAATTGTATATGTAGATTAAAGTTTTAATTTAACATTTGTGGAATATGCTAAAATTTAAAAGATGAGAATATATAGTTAAGATATAATTTGGATAGTATCTATATTGCTTTGGTACTATATGCGTAAACTAAGCAATATATTTATGTTACGATTTCAAAAAACAATTAGATTTCAGAAAATATTTATTGTTTCCTAAATCCAAGTTATCGTGTGATAATCATATCAATAATTAAGAAAACGTTTATTATAATATTAACTAATGAAATTACGTGGATAGGAATTTACGTCAAAATAAAGATTTAATAGTTAATGATACTATATTTTAGGAACTAAATATATTTTGTTAACTTGTTTGATTGTTGTTTGTTAAATTATATGGAATTTGAATTTGAATATTTAAGTTACTCGAAATTATCCAAAGCCGTTATAGAAACTACTTAGATTTAGTATTAATATGAATTTCAATTTTGGTAACTTAATATGGGTGAGAATAATTTTCGCCAATATATAAATACATTTTTAATAACATTTTCGAAAATATGTTGAATAATGGATTACTATATAACATTTTCAATAACATTTCGAATTATATGAATTGTATTGTTTTTTCGAAATATTTTTCGAATTATATGAATTATATAAACAAAATCTTTTGATATCTTTAAACCCGTTTGACCCGTTGACCCGTTAATATATATTAGTGAAATAGAATAAAATGATTATAATTAGAGATCTCTAATGGCATATATTGTAATTTCTTACAAAATCTAAGTTATGACTCTTAGGATGTACTTTCCAAATATTAGTATAGGATACACCAATATTTAAAAAAAAAAAAAAAAAAAATATTGGGGCAAAGTGGATAAGATAACATCCAATGAGAATCAGATACATCAAACACAACAATCTCTAAGAGCCACAACAATCTCTAATAACCAGATCCTCTGTCTTGCCACATCAGCAAATGCAATCTCAAGTTTCGTAGATTGCTTATTTCTTCATCACACACTTCAAACTCGTTTTTATTTTAATTTCATAAGAGAACAACTAAGACAGAAAGAACAATGGCAACGAGTGCATCTCCAATGGCCAGCCAGCTAAGGAGCAGCTTCTCCTCCGCTTCTCTTTCCCGGCGTCTCGCCGTGCCCAAGGGCATCTCCGGCGCTCCTTTCGGTGTTTCTCCGACCAAAAGAGTCTCTTCCTTCACCGTCCGAGCTGTTAAATCCGACAAGGTAAATTCTTTGTTAACCATCGGACACAAAGTGAATTTACTCAAGCACAGTCATGTGGTTTAATATTTTAGGACAGTTAGGAAAATGATATGTAATTGATAAAAAGCCCACAATAAGTACCACTAGTTTCATAGTTTATGTTTTGTTATTACATACAAAGTTTTTAATGATTCTGTAGAACCTCTTTTATGGAACTTATAGGAGTGAAAAGAATGAATATTTGGGTTCTTGATATATGCAATGGAAAGTTATGTATAGTGTGCTCTAACAATTAATACGTAAATTGGCAGCCAACATTCCAAGTGGTTCAACCAATCAACGGCGATCCATTCATCGGAAGCTTGGAAACTCCGGTCACATCTAGCCCCTTGATCGCGTGGTACCTTTCCAACCTCCCTGGTTACCGTACCGCTGTCAACCCTCTCCTCCGTGGTGTGGAAGTGGGTCTGGCTCATGGTTTCTTCTTAGTGGGCCCATTCGTCAAGGCTGGTCCATTAAGGAACACTGCTTACGCCGGGTCAGCCGGGTCTTTAGCCGCGGCTGGGCTAGTAGTCATCCTCAGCATGTGCCTAACCATCTATGGTATCTCTTCATTCAAGGAAGGAGAGCCATCCATTGCACCGAGTTTGACTTTGACCGGGCGGAAGAAGCAGCCTGACCAGCTTCAAACGGCTGAGGGATGGGCTAAGTTCACAGGAGGGTTCTTCTTTGGAGGGATATCTGGGGTGACTTGGGCTTACTTCCTTCTCTACGTTCTTGACCTTCCTTACTACGTCAAGTAAATGTAGATCAAAAATATGAGTGTACTTTCAACTCTCTTGCATCATTGTTTTTACTCTTGTCTTGATCAAGAATCTTGAAACTCAGGATTGTTAATGTATATTACTCTTTCTTCATCTTCTTGACATTAATATATATTTGCCTTGCTTAGTTTATGATGTTGATCATACTAATTAAACATCTTTAACAAACATGTAGATCCATAGTTGTAAATCTTTTATACTTGGATGACACTTTTTCGAATTGAAGAATAAAAAAGTTATCATCAATCAAACGTTAGATAATGAAATATCATACATATTATTAGAAGTAGCAACACTCTTGTTCCACAATATAAAAGAAACTCATTCACCCTTAACAAAATACAAAACTTGATAGTTTTAAAGCAACCAGTTTCCACCAAAAGTGGGGAAAAACCAACGAGCATCCTTGAAAAGTGTAGTCGAGGACGCAGTAAGATCTTCAAACAATTGGACCACTTGATCGGTTCGAATATGGTAGACGTGAATATCGTTATTGTTAAAATCATTGCACAGACTATTCCCATTGTATCTATGAAACTGATCACTACTAAAATATATGCAATTTTTCATAACTTTCGCCTCAACCGTTATTCCAAGATCTACAACCAATGCTTCCCCTCCTATAGACTTAATCATTTTCCATTTTGATGATTTAGGATCCATCTTGTAGACGTCGAAGAAGCATCTCATCCTCGGATATGGTTCCACTCTAGCTAAAATGATCAAAACCTCTCCAGACAAAGTGACAGCAACTTTGTAATGAGACCCTGGAGGAATATATATAAAATCCTCCCGCAACGGCAAATATGGGAAATTTGCACAATTCACCGGAGAATCATCACCGGAGAAATCATAAACACTGACCTTTCGAGTTAAACTAAGCACGTAAAGCTTGTTTTCTTTAAAGACCATATCGATGTAGACTACATGCTTAAAAGGTAGAAACACCTTCCAATTATTGTTGTCACCTCCTTTCTTGTGATATCCAAAAATGCTACCAAATTTCCAAACAACCAAGTAATCTCTGCTTTTTTCATCAACCCACAAAACCGCGTTGTCTATATAATCAATACCCCTGCCATCAGAAGCCCTTCTGAAAATATTTCCGTCACCGATTGATTCTAGAGACGGAAGAGGAATCCTCACTTGAGTAAACGGATTCAAAAGATGAAAATCGATTCTACTACGGTCTAACATAAGGAACCAGCTACCGGAACTAGCCAAACAAAGACTCCTAGCTAAATCAAACCCGAGATCTCTTACTATGTAGGAACTATGGTCACGAGGATTGTACAACTTACATGAATCATTCTTGTTTTCCACATGTTCGCTTGGAAAAAGGATAATCCATGGAGTTGTTGAGTTTTTTACTCCGAGGCATGATTCTGAAGTGGAGTACCATTCTGAAGAAATGCATCTGGCTCGATGAAAATCAACAAAGCTTAAGCGCTCCAATATCGATCTAAGAAGGTCTAAGACAAGTACTGGTTGCTTTGAATCGTCGTTGCATGTCTCTTCGTTGGAATCGCTCATCTCCTCACTACAAGAAAACAGTCGTTTTGCGAGGCAACTTTGCGAGGGAAACCATCCCTCGCAAATTTGCGAGGGAATTGCAAGTAATTTGCTACGAAAAGGACGCGCGTCGCACTTCCGTCGCATAATTTGCGAGGGAAAGTTTCCTCGCAAAATTGCGAGGGACCTACGAGTACTTTGCGAGGAACAATATACTCTGTCGCAAATCTCCCGCACATACCTCGCAAATCTTTACCCTAAACCCTAAAATACATAAAAGTGTTTTGCGATCTTTGATTTTTATTTATAAATATGAATCTAAGAGACCATATAATCAGACAAGTTGAATATATGGTGATGCATAAAAAAATGTTGTATAGGTTTCAATATTAACATTTTATTTTGAAAATGTTATAAACATTGATTCATATTATATAAAAACATAAGATCATCATTGATGTATTTGAGGAAAATGCACATTCGGACGAATTCGAAGTATATGATAAGAAAGTAGATTCTAATGTAGATAATTAAC